AGTATTGAGCAAAATAACAAACAAACAAAAAACAAAACAAAACAAAAGCCAGACTCCCAAAACACATACTGTTTGATTTTATTTATATCAAGTTCAAAATGGGCAAAACTAATCTATGGTGTTATAAGTCAGGATAGTCATTAACTTTGGATAAGGAGAATGGTATAGAAACAGGGATGGAGCATAAGGTGAGGATCGTGATATAATAGTTCTATTTATTAACCTGGGCTCTTCTAATGTTAGTACCTTCACTTTATAAAAATCCATTGATTTGATTTGTGACCTTTTCTGTATGCATGTTATTCTTCAATAGAATTTCTGTTTTAAAAAAAGAAAACAAATGAAGAGCTAAGTGATGAGTATTTATATAGAGTAGAAGAAAGATGGTCCTCTATGCCCATGCACAGAAAGGTTGTGGGTCAATTCCTGGTCAGGGCACAGGCCTGGGTTGTGGGCTCTATCCCTGGTAGGGGATGTGCAGGAGGCAGCTGATTGATACCTCGCTCTCACATCAATGTTTCTCTCTCTCTCTCCCTCTCCCTTCCTCTCTTTCTAAAAGTCAACAAAAATCTTTTAAAAACAACACAATGATCTTCTATGAGGGCCACCCTACAAGAATGGCAAGGTAATGTTCTTGGGGATTACATGGATTCAAAAGTTCTCTAATATAAAGAGATCTCTATAAGGTAATTATAGATCAATTAAATATTATTTTTCACAAGATCTAAGACAGAAAGAGAAAGATGAGAATTAAAAGCAAACACAACATCAAATGATACATTACAGAAAACTTTTAGCACCATCTTAAAGATAATATGGTTAGGACTCTTCTCCATTTCACTTTGTAATGATTCTAGAAATCAGTGAAACATTGCCAATGGAACTACTTACTCACTTAAGCATAGCTGACAATTCACAGGGTTAGCAAGACCTGAGGAAAACAGGCCTGCTACATAAAGAGAAAATGTATTTGTTTTACATAAACATCTCTAAAAGGCCCCAAATAATATTCAACTCAACAAGTATTTAAGTACTCTAAACATAACAAGTACTACAATCAGGTACTATAGAAAAAGACAAAAAAAGAAGTCAGATTTCTGAAGAGTTCTAGTATAAAGACACAAGATTTATTAAACAAAATCAACAGGCATAACAACTACAGAATCATCCCAAGACAGGATATAGTGGGTGGGTTACAAGAGTAGAGCTATTGAGAGAGAAAATGGGATAGGTATAACAGAGCCAGTTAGTCAAAAGCCTGGAATATCATACTGAAAATTCTAGATTTAAATCTATGGAGAACTATTTTACCTAGATCCTACTCCCCTAAAAATATTTTTTCATTTAGTGATTCCTAGTTATTTTCAACCTTAATAAATAATGTTGAAATCTGGATAACTGAAGTTCTATCTAGTTAAAACAAGAGATGTTCTATGAAAAGTTAAATTTGAATTCCGTAACATCACCTCAAATAATTAAGAACATATTCCAAGTATCCCCAACAATCCTGAATAAACCCTTATTAAATTACACATATATATTTTTCTAAATATTCTTAAACCTTAACGTTTCAATTCAGATCATCCCTTGGGGCAATAATTTTAATAAGATACTACTCTTATTTGCCTCCTCGCCCAAATAATCTTTCAGGCATTAAAATATATTTAGTAGCTAACATAGTGTTTGGCTCATTTCATGCTTTCTATTTATTGACCTGAATGGATAAATTACACCAATATATTAAACTTAGTCATCTCTCTCATGGTTTAGTAGACTTTCATTATATTCCTCCTTCAACCTTCCTCTCTCTTGACTGAAAAAAACAACCAGAAAGTCCCTCCATCCTTTTGGTTAATTTAGTTGGGTTTCTGGGGACTTTTATCAGCTGTTAGGTTTTTCTTAAGGAGCAACCACCAGAATTTCCTGTATGATTATGAATATAAATCTACTTTTGGTCTTTTACATGGAAAAGATAAAGGTTTTATTATTTTGTCATTGTTTTCAACACCCTTCCTTTATGATGTCCACCATATTCTTGGCTTTGAGGACCACAATCAAAAAGTGGGCCAACTTCACAGAATAATCAACAGTGATTTTTATTTTTATACTCTAACAATCATATTGTATATTTCATAACTCAGAGACTGATATTTCTCTTGAGATCATCACGACTATGCAGATAAATCTACAGGTACTAAGCTACTCCAGCTGAAGGAGAGTTATGATTCCAGGTCCAAAGTGACCCTCTCACTTTTTATCAGCAGCATCTGTGTCCCCACTGGGGAGGCTTTCCTATAACAATCCCCTTAGAGAACTTTGCTGATTTATGTATCCTGATTGCCCTAATTTCCTTGTGTAACCTGTTTTAAAAGTTTTTAATTGAGGGATGACATACATATATCTTCAGTGATTTCTAGATTCCTTTCTTGGGTTATAACTGAGTCTATCATATCATAAGCATGGATAGGTTTGAATGGCTTTATAAAAATGAAGTACCTTTGACAGTTCTGCCCATTTGGTCTTAAGAGATCATCCTGCAATTTATTATCATCAGTTTGCCTTCACTCCTTGCAAATAAACTGGTGAGAAACCTGAATGTTCTGCCCATTGAAGGGTGTATTATTTTTATCTTTCTTCCACTCCACCTAACAGTTGCTGTAACAACAACTGCCTGTGTTAGAAAACTAAAATATAAAAGTGTGACCTACGTGGCCAAATCCCAAAAGGCTGTTTACTTCCTTATTTATGAATCAGAACCTGTCAGCACAACTTAGACTGTCAGCAGATACTGCAATTAAATGTCCCTGCAAAGCCAGCAGAGGGTGCACCAGGGCACTAGAAATTTTACCCAAAATGTAGCAGTATCAACTAACTCTAATAGCCAATCAACTTTTTTTTTTTTTCTTTTTGGTATACTAAAACTAATATCCTCAAGATAAACAAGTTGAATCTTGGTTAAAATTCCTTCAAAGCATGTTCCAATTCTCCTGAAAGTGAAGTTCAGCAAGAAATACATAGTTAAGCCTGGCCAAAACATAGATGGAGTAGAACTGATCCATCTATTTTGGAAAAATTCTAGTGTGGAGATCTACTCCACTCTCCCCCAAAAGGCTCCAGGAGGTAGTTTGATATAGGGGAATGGACACTTAACTGGGAGTCAAGAGACCAACACCTTGGACAAGTCACTCCCCCCTCAGTGCCTATGTGTTCTCCAAGAGAATAAAACAAAATGGACTCATGGCCACTCACAACTCTAAAAAAAAAAAACAACAACAACTGACTGAAATTGGTGTCAGCAAATGTAAAGAGCCAGTGTGCATACTTCTACTGCTCAAAAACATTAAAACAGACAGAATAAAGGACAGAAGAGAGGGAGCTGTATTTAAACCTAGACAGGACTATTTGAAGTTCCATGCAAAGAGCGGGCAACTAAATGCCATTATAGACCTGTGAGAGTCCCACATCATCACAGAAGCCCTAGAGTACAGCTGTCCTGCCAATCCTCCTGGGTCTGTCTATTCTGAATGCCAAAAAGCCTTGGCTACCATTGGACTAAAGAAGTTAAATTCCATCATCTTTTCACATAATATCAATGTTTAGCTGCTAAGTATTTCTACTGGGCATTAGAGGGGGTGGTGGATAAAGGGGGCCAGAAAACTAGTAAATTATCATTTAGCTACAGTATTTAAAGTTTCAAGTATGAGAAGCATGTCTACTGATTCTGTTATTTGATAAGCTGTTATATAAGTTGGAGTGTGCTAGCAATATATTTTAAGGTTCAGGGCAACTTTACAATTCACATCATAGAAAACTGTGTCAGTCCTAACATTACAATAGTATCATGAGTGTGACACCAGCACAAATAACATTTATGGAGTATGACAATGACTCTGATGTGGTAGTAAATATAGAAGGCCTGGGTCTCTCGACTCAGGAAACTTATTAGCAAAACTTGCCCTCTTCCCCAAGAGGAACAAATTCACTATTATTCTTTAACCACCACAAAAGGATTTTTGGATGCTTCTCTTAAGTTTCACATAAAGCAAAATTTGAAGGTCAAGAGGATACTGAATTTCAGTGCACTAAACTTACTTGAATAAAGAGCTAGAAAGGGTAGAAAACAAACACCAAAGCTGCTAAAAAGGACAAAAACACCATAAAGATTGCGAAACACACACAAATACACACAACTGCTCTTGAGAGATTACTCTAGTATTTATTCCATCAGTAGACTCCTGTTCTCAAGCTAGCAACAGCAAGACACTTCACAACCACCCTCTCCATCCCACTCCCCTAAGAAGAGTACGAATGGGAGTTTTATTTCCAGAGATTTAAAAAATTGCTCTTCAGAAGTTGTCTAGCAAGATGGCATGTTTCTACCAGAATTCCTGAGGCGCTGATCCTCACTACAACACCCAGGACAATCAGTCTCAAATTGAAGGTAAGTGTGAACAAGCCCACGTTCTGGTCAGCGCACAAGGATCCGCTCTGGAAATATCATTAAAAGTTGTTTCAACGGCCCTGGAGCAGTTATTACAGCTGTTTACAGCTCCAATTCCAAATGAGAGCCTGCTAGTGCTGGCATCAACTCTGGACACGAAAAAACAAGCACCGCAGGCAGAGAATCTAATCTCATCAAGAGCAGAGGGGCCAAACTGCTGCCGCTAGTCCGCCAGAGGGGCAGCACCCTTACCTCTTCACGGGCGGCCCAGCTGGGAGCTCAGCCAACTTTTCCCGAGGCAGCCTGTAGCCGGGGTCGGCGGACGCGGGCTAGGGCTTCCAAGTCCCGGGTCCTGAGGGAGTCTGGGAGCTGGGCGAGGGAAAGGGGACAACCTGCCCCAGGGCAACCTCTCTCCAGTTCGCCTGCTCCCTCCCTGGTCCTGCCCTCCTACATGGCTGGAGGTAGCTGAGTCGCCCACGGGGTCGGTGGGGGAGGGCCCCCGTCCTACCCATAAAGGGAGGGGGGCCTCTGCAGCCGCCGCCCCAGCCTAGTGACTCACCTGGTGCCCGTCCTGAGAGTCTGGTGGGAGAGTTGTTTCTCCAGGTTCTAGCGGCTGCTGCTGAAGTGAAGGCTGCCTAAAGTGGCGGGTGATGGGACCGTCGGGGTCCAGGCCACCGGGTCCACTCAGGGTGCCAGAGGTGCCAGGGGTGCCGGGGCCGCCAAAGCGGGACTCGGCTCCCCGTTCCCGCCGCAACTCGGAGCGCAACTCTAGGTAGCAGCACAATGTCAGCAGGTGGAGGGCCAGCGAGAGGCCGAAGAAGCCCAGGAAGAGCCGGCAGCTGTTCCCTTCACCCGCCCGGGCACGGGCCCCGCGACAGCCGCAGCCCTGACTCCCCCGCTCCCTTGGCGCTGCTGCAGGCAGGGGCTCCCTGCGCTCTACCTCGGGGTAGCCCATGGCCTCCGGAGACGCCCACTCTCTGAGGCTCGGGAGCCGCCGCGTCTGCCTCAGCCGTTTAGGACCCCTGACAGGCGGCTACCGTCCTGCCATGGGCTGGGGGCTGCAGGGACCCGTTCCTGCGCGACGGAGGCTGGGCGGGACGGAGCAGGGAGAAGCCGCATGTGCAGCTCCACTCAGAGGGGTGGGAAAGGGAGGAGGAGGAGGGGCGAGAGAGAGGGGCCGCTGGACCGGCCAATGGAATGAAGGAGGAGGCTCGGGACAACCCCGCCCCATCCCTCAAGCAGCTGCCCAGGCGTCCAACCATCGGGCTCGCCAAGCCTGGGTGCCCCGCCCCTTCGTGTTCCACCCGGGGCCTCAGGCCTCGAGGCGGAGCCTGGGGGTGTGTGAGTTGCCTCTGCCTGATGGCCCCACCCAGCTCTTCCTGCTTGCACCATTCCAGTTGGTGATTGCTGCTGTCGTTCATCACTGGACTCCGCCCCAATTTAACCCTTTAGCGCCAGTACGGGGGAAGGGGAGAGGAGAAGGGGGAGGCTGAGAAGAAATTGGGAACCTTGGAAAGTAGAGCAAGTAAAAGAAGGCAGAAAGTAGTATTAATAGAAATGTTTGCAATTAACTGCAGTTGCTAATAACATCATCCAGTACTTATCTGTTGCTTTCAATCTTCAAAGCGGTTAACAGACGTTAAACTAATTAAAACAGTTCTGGGTTTGGAATGAAACCACGCCTGCTGTGTTTTCAATCCAATAGTGCGCCAAAAGAAAAGGAACTCAGGAGCCAGGGAGCCAAAGGGAGTGAGAATGGGGAGGGATACAGGCAGCCCCACTCCTGGAGTAAGTCTGCAGCCTCAAAGTAAGTGATGAAGAAGTCCACCTATGAAGTGCTGTTGCCCTGTGCAGGGTAAAACGGTGTCTTGATATATTAATTAATTCAACAAATATACATTGATCCCTTTAAATGTAGAAAGTGCTGCCCGACTGATGTGGCTCAATGGTTCAGCGTCGTCATATGAACCAGGTGGTCAAGGTCCAATTCTCAGTTAAGGGCACTTGCCCAGGTTGCCGGCTTGATCCCCAGTGGTGGGCATGCAGGAAGCAGGCTGTGCAGGATTCTCTCTCATCATTGATGTTTCTCTCTCTCTCTCTCTCTCTCTCTCTCTCTCTCTCTCTCTCTCTCTCTCTCTCTCTCCCCCCCCCCCCGTTTCCCTCTTCCTTCTTCTCTCTGAAATCAATAAAAACATTTTTTTAAAGAAAATGTAGAAAATGCAGTATGAGAGAACCCTTGGCCAATATAGCTTCTCTTCTTCCACCGCAGCAAGAGTTTTGAGTGGAGAACATGTGTCTTCAATGAGCAAATGGGGAAACTGAGTGCCAGAATGAGGTGAATTTTTACAAGGGTGGTCCGCAGAATGGCCAGACAATATTGGCATCTATATTTGCAGGCAACTGTTCTGGCCTCTCCACCCCTCCCCTCTTCTCCCTGGAGTAGTTCCTGGGGAAGTTTCAACAAGTCAGCCAAATGTTCCAGATGCACACTGCTGTGACTGCAGCATCTTCAACAGCTGCACCAATCAGAAAAGGGTTTAGAACCAAAAAACAATCAAAGACAAGAGTGGCAAATGTCAGAACAACAGACCCCGAAATGAAGGATGGGAAGGATTAATTGAGTTGCCATTGGCAACAGTTACTAGTCTGAGATTGTAGAGAGCTAAATGACTATAGCAGGGGAAAAATATGTATGCTTCTTGGCCACTATGCACTCCCATTCCCATGTTATGAATAATTAGCAGTTTTATTGACTTGAAAAGGGTAGGCCTAAGTCCCAGGCTGAAGGATAAAAAAAGAATAGGGGGAATACAAAAGAAGAGAAACAACGAAACAAAAACAATGCAGGGGAGGTCAGTCCAGAGAACACAGAGGTCAAAACATATCAGCCACAGTCAACTTTTTTTCAGACACTCTGTGAATGGTCTTGGTGCTTTAGAAACATCTTTGTGTCCCCCTATTGGCCCTTACCCATGAAATATCAAGTTTGCAAAGAATACCATCATCATGCAGATAAAAAAAATTTAAAAGTGCATTAACAGTTAATCTCATATGTCTAGTCTGGGAATTCTAGATGCTAAAGGAACTGCCAGGCTGATTTATATTCATTATCACAGCTCAGGACTATTAGAAAGAATGCTGGTCAAAGAAACCTACCCCTGTTACTGGTTTGCTGGCTCACGCTGAAAAAAAAATGCTACACTTTTGGGGACCTTTGCTTTTCCAATTGTAAAATGAGTACTGTGAACTTTAACAGCTGAAACATTGTCTTTTATCTGCTTCATCATTGGCTGTGTTGACTTGGTCACAAACACAGTTCAAAGAAGCTGCCCCTTCTTCCCCCAACATGAAAAGGGAACAAATAACAGTCATCTCCTGGTAGTAGGGCTCAGGGATCTTGCTGGACTCAGTTTACCATGTTCTTTCTACTAGGCTTTTAACAGCTTGATTGAGACATTGCCCTTAGAAGACACCACAAGTTGCATTTGAACTGGAACCTCACCTTGGTTCCCCAGAGGAAAAACACATGGCTTTATATGCAGTAGAAATGTTGGAATGGCCGAAACCGGTTTGGCTCAGTGGATAGAGCGTCGGCCTGCGGACTGAAAGGTCCCAGGTTCGATTCCGGTCAAGGGCATGTACCTGGGTTGCGGGCACATCCCCAGTGGGAGATGTGCAGGAGGCAGCTGATCGATGTTTCTCTCTCATCGATGTTTCTAACTCTCTATCTCTCTCCCTTCCTCTCTGTAAAAAATCAATAAAATATATTTAAAAAAAAAAAAAAGAAATGTTGGAATGGATAATCCACTGAGGGATGTACATGGTTATTTTTTTTCTTTATTGTTGAAAAATTCACAGATGTTCCCTTTGTTTGTTTTTCCCATTGATCACCTGCACCCTGCACCCGCCCCTCCCAGACCTTCACCACTCTATTGTCTGTGTCCATATATGCATACAAGTCTCCCCAGTAATCACTCTTCTTAAGATTATCGCAGCTATTTGGGGTCTCTTTTGGTTACATATAAATTTTTGTGATGTTTGTTCTAGATATATAAAATATGCCATTGAGGTTTTAATAGGGATTGCACTGAATCTATAGATTGCTTTGGGTAATATGGACATTGTAATGATGTTGATTCTACCAATCCATTAGCAAGGTATATAATTCCACTTGTTTATATCTTCCTCCAACTCTTTTTTCAATATCCTGTAGTTTTCTGAGTTTGACCAGGAGACCGGGAGTTCGATCACTCGCTATGACATGCACAGGGAGGTAATTTACCTCCCTGGTTAAGTTAATTCCTAAGTATCTTTTTTTTTCTTTCTTGCAAAGGTAAATGAGATTGTTTTGTTTGTTTGTTTCTCTTTCTGAGAATTCATTATTTGTCTATAAAAATGCCATTGATTTCTGGGTATTAATTTTGTATCTTCTTAAGTTGCCGAATTCATTTATTAAATCTAATAGTTTTTTGATGGAGCCTTTAGGGTTTTCTATGTACAATATCATGTCATCTGCGAATGATGATGGTTTTACTTCATCCTTTCCAACTTGGGTGCCTTTTATTTTTCTTCTTGTCTAATCACTATGGGTAGGAATTCCAGGACTATATTAAATAAGAGTGGTTAAAGTGGACATTCCTGTCTTAATCCTGTTCTTAGAAGAAATGGTTTTAAATTTTCCCACTGAGCATGAGATTGGCTGTAGTTTTGTCATATATGGCCTTTATTATGTTGAGATATGATCCCTCTATTCCCACTTTACTGAGTGTTTTTATCAAAAAAAGGTTGTTTCACTTTGTCAAATGTTTTTTCTATACCAATTGACATGATCATGTGATTTTTGTCTTCCAGTCTGTTTATGTGATGTGTCACATTTATTGATTTGCAAATATTGTACCAGCCTTGCATCCCTGAATAAATCCCAGTTGACCATGGTGTATGATCTTTTAAATGTACAGATGGATTCAATTTGCTACTATTTTGTTGAGGATTTTAGCATCTATGTTTATCAGAGATACTGGCCTATACTTATCTTTCTTTGTAGTGTCTTTATCTAGTTTTGGAATTAGGGTAATACTGGCCTCATAAAAAGATCTTGGAAGTGTTCCTTCCTCTTGAATTCTTTGGAACAGTTTGAGGAGGATGGTGTCAGTTCTTTGAATGTTTGGTTAAACAACCCTGTGAAGCCATCCAGACCAGGGCTTCTGTTTGCTGGGTGTTTTTTGATTACTGCTTTAATTTCATCAGTAGTTATTGGCCTGTTCAGGCTTTTTGATTTTTCCTGATTGAGATTTGGAATATGTCCATTTCATCCGTATTGTCCAGTTTGTTGGAATATAGTCATTCATAGTATTTTTTAATGATCCTTTGCATATCTGTGGGGTCAGATGTTACATCATCTGTTTCATTTCTGATTTTGTTTGTGTGGGTCCTCTTATCTTCATTTGATCTGGAGTCTAGCTAGAAGTACATCAATCTTGTTTCTTTTTTCAAAGAACCAGCTCTTGGTTTTATTAATCTTTTGTATTGTTCTTTTTCTTTCTTCTTTTTTTTTTTGTCTCTATGTTATGTATTTCTGCTCTGATCTTTATTATTTCCTTCCTTCTACTTACTCTGGGCTTTTCTTATTGTTTTCTTTCTAATTCTTTACGTTGTAGGGTTACCTAACTTATTAAAAGTTTTTCTTGTTTTTTGAGATAGGCCTGTAATGCTATGAACTTCTCCATCAGAACTACTTTCACTGTGTCCCATAGATTTTGGGTTGTTCTGTGTTCATTTTCATGTGTTTCCAGGATATTTTTTATTTCTTCCTTGATATCTTTGGTAACTTATTCATTGTTTAATAACATGCTATTTTAACCCCTGTGTGTTTCAATGCTTTTGAATTTTGTATTGCAGTTGATTTCTAATTTCATGATATTTTGATCCAAGAAGATGCTTGATATGGTTTCAATCTTCTTGAAATTGTAGATACTTAGTTTGTGTCCTAACATGTCACCTATCTTTGAAAATGTCCCATGTGGAATAATGGCAGCAGAGTAAGTGGAAGCTATACTGACACTATCCCAGGACAAAACTGGAAATACAACTAAAATATAGAAAAACCACTCTGAAAAATCAACTGAGGATGAGCTGG